CAATATTGCAATCTGAAAAAAAAAAAGCAGAGGAAAAAGCAAACATCAGCGAACAACAAAGAAGAACCCGTGTGGACATGGGCGCCCACACACAAACACAATCACACACGCTTGTCTCACCCAATTAATCTTGGAGCGATGCTACTCTGCGTGTGGAAGGGCTCATCGGACAATGATCACTTCGACTCGTGATTTCGGTCAGTTTGATGCGACTTGCGGCAGCACCCCCGTCTGGCTGGAACAATGCATTTGACAAGAAGAGCCATGAGTAGCACGAAGGTATACGAAGGTATTGGGGCCAGGCTGCTCTTCGAATGTCCTACTTCACAAACTGATATCAACCTCAATCTGGCCGGCTTAGTTTCAGGCGCCCATGGCTGCTGCTTCGTAGATCGCCACAAACAGCGACAGCGCAGGAGGTGTAGAATCAAGTTTTTGTTGGCAAGCCCTTGTCTGTGTGGAAGGTGATGGCCACATGCTGGCTAGATGAGCTCAAGGCTTATGCTAAGCCGAGATATGAGGCAATACACAGAACTGACAAGCCCACAGGTGAAACCGCATGAAAGGCCAGGCAGACAGTCACAAAGGTTGCTCATGCAAGCCTTAGCAAAGCGGACCGTCTTCTGTTCTGCGGCAATTGCGTCCAACACCTGGAATCCACCCCGTGCACATGAAGCAACTGCTAATCACAAGCGCGACCTGCCGACCTGCCTTGGTGAGGTGTACACTGGGCGCGTGCCATGGTGCCCACAGGAGCAACGTCGTGAGCCCCTTGTGGCTACCACACAGCGCCTCAATTGAGTGTCCAAGACCAGGACCAGGAGGTATCACATGGGAAGTCCCCCAAAAGCAGCAGGACTCACATGCCTGCAGCTCGGCTTCCGAGAACACTTCCGCGACCACGGACATTCAGCCTCAAAGAGCTGACAGTTCCTGTGTCTAACGCTCAACCAAATTCAGGCATGACATTCAAGCACCCAAAAAAGACTGTGCCGTCATGCGCCTGGACCCGCGCGCACACCACGTTGAAGGAAGCCCAGCTTTTTCAAGTTTCAATTCTTAATGATACGTCTGCTGCCACGTTCCCTCACAGCTATCTGAAATTTTCAGCGCAACTTACCACTTCTGCCGAAAAGAGGCAACATGTCCTGAGACTTACTGCTTGAGTATCACTGCAACGGGGACTGACAGCGACCATCAATGCTGAGAACATTGGATGTACAAGAACTCAAATGTGCGCAGCAGGGCTCGTGCGACATCTAGCTCCACACTCCCATGTACAAGCTGGGTCTCGAAAGGCTCACCAAATCAAAATTTGCTCCAGGTTTGCTTGGACACTCTGCCAGCGCGTCATTTCTGAGCCTGCCAAGCTGTCTTGTGCAGCCTCAGCCCTCAGCATCCCTCAGCCCATCACGCTTCATTTCGCATGTCGGGTGCTGTCGCAAGCTCTACTGGCAGCCTCAGCTCTCCAAGTCTCCGGCAGTCCGGAAGTGCTAGTATGCACAATAGCACGGAAAGCATGAGGCGCTTAAGGCTTCGGCAACAAAGCACCGCGAGGACCTTCAGCCTCCAGCAAATGAAGAGCTTCTCAAGCTTTCTTGGTAGGAACATCTAGATGCCTGGAGCATGTTGAATTTGATCACCTTGCAAGTATGGCGAACATCATCCAGCCTGCACCCAGTCCTTCCCCTGCCTGGATCCAACTGCCAGCATGTGGCATTAGAGACTGGCGAACGAGCACAGATGAAAGACACATGGACGGCGGCAGATCGTAACGCAATGCGCCTGCAGAGCTGGATGCCGCTGATGGAGCAAGATCCTATTCAGCACTCACTGACCAAGGAATTCCTCAGCAGTCAAGGCAAGTGGCACCTCATCAGGGACCCCTCAGCAATGCCACGAGCAGGTGAACCCTGCCGAGAGATCACAGCAAATGGAAAAGCCCAGTTCGCCCAAGCAGAGCTCAGCGGTCCTGCCTCGGCGACTTGCACCATCAGCAGCATGCCTTCCGTGCTTTCACAGGCCTTCAGCGCGAATGGAAGAAGAATGATTTGGATGCGATGAGATTTTAGAGAGTTTCGTCTGGCAGCAGGCCTGCTGCACCTGAACGAGCAGCGGCTTCCTTATGTGACAATTACTCAAAGCAGAACTGACATCAGAATTGCCTCCCCAAGCTTCTAGGCTTTTGGGTAGGTGTGGCGGGGTCGCGAAAGTGTGAGGCTAAAAAGTCAGGCTGACATGTGCTTTTAGTGCACAGACATTTTCCTGACTTCCTGGTGAAAGCTTTGGGCACCTGGCTCATCACCATCCCACCCGGCCTAGTCACACGTGTCACAGCTCAAAACTGATGCAAAGCGTTTGCGGATGCTGGTGGATGCTGCCAGCCTGCAGCTGCTTCCGACCCACTGTACCTGCTGACAGCTCAACAGAGGCACAAGACTTCTCGTGTTTGTTCCCTGCACAAAACCGAGAAGTGTACCAAATTTGCATGAGCGAGTGCCATCGAAGCATGGCCCCGACGCAAGGATGACACGCGGACTTGAATGGCTCAAGTGAAAGGACATTTTGTCCCTGAGGGGGTTCCAGACCTCTTCACCTCCCTCCCTAGGCTTTCCTGCGGTAGCTTCGGAAGGGTGGGGCCAGGCCAGGAAGTTAGGTTCATTCAGAGGGTCTCGGTGATGGATGATTCGGAGCTTGATCTGAGTACTCTGTAGGAAATGCCACCATCGAAATATAATCCCCTAGACGATGTTCCTCATATTTCCTCATTCAATTAGGCAAAATATAAGTCAATCGAGTCCTGCATTTAGCATTGTCACCGATACGGTATCCCCCAAAGGGCCACCCCAATCACACTTCTGCAGCACACGCACACGACACAGCAGCCTTTGCGCTTCAGAGACACACTGGTCAGGTAGTGCCGCACCTTTAAGGGTGAAGGCGAGCGCTGACCCAAATGCCAAACGTGATGCTTCGGAAGCAGGCATTGGGCTCTTAGGCCGCCGACAACGGAGGTATACTGTTCTTGAAAGCCTTGGGGAGCTGCTCGTCGAGACCGCTGGCCAGGAGTGACATGCACCTGCAGCGAAGCAGCGACCAATGCCGTAAAGCCAGTCTGGCCTTCATCGAAGCTAAGCCCAAGGCTGACATCTCCATCCAGTCAACCAGGCAGTTTCGCCGCAGTGTTGCTTCCTTACTGGTGCGAAATAACTGGGGGACTTGAACAGGGGCTGTCAAGCCTCCGCTGCACCCACCTCAACAGAGTCCGCTATCTGGCACGGGACGCAACTGCGCGTGACAAACGATGTGGGTGGCCAAGCACCACACGCGTACTAAGCAAGCATGGCTGTAAGTGATTCCTACCAGCTACGCCTCGGTTAGCCTCTCGGCAGAACCTGAAGTGCTGTTTGCAACGGCATCTTTGATATTCAGAGGGGCCCCTGTGTAGCTAGAACTTTATCCGCCATGTAGTGCCTTGCAAAATTTTGTTGATTTCGCCGCAGGCGACTGCTTCCAGCCACTTCCCCGATAGGTTCCCTTCTTTCCCTTAATTTGCATGTCCCCATTTCCCAGCCGGTCGTCCCTGGACGAAAGTTCGACCCACTTGTTATGGCAGACCTACACTACAAGCAGACCCGTTCTCGCCCATAGACTCCTCCACTGAGCACCTTGGGGACTCCGCTGGAACCTAAAAATATTATGTAATAAAAACAACGTATTAGCTGACTTCGCAACATGGCCCATGCCGCGGGCTCTCTTCACAAATGTTGGGCCTCCTGACAAGCCCTGAGGCCGCAGTAGGCCGAAGCTTTATTCCTGGCGATGTATTCTGTTAGTGCTTGGACAACATGTTGCAAGCCTGATGGCTGTGTACCTGCAGCTGAAAAGAGGAGCAGGGGTTGAGTTGCGTTGGACATGACTCTTCAGTCATGCCTGATAGGGCTTGGTAACGTGCCAGCGCAAAGGCTTGCAAAACAACACGCAAATGAAGATGTGCCGTATGTGCCCAATGAGCTTTACTACTCTTGCCATGCTGGTTCCAGATTGCGCAGCTCAAAAACTCTAATGCTGTAAGGAGATCGGGCAAAGCCTCTCTTGGGTCATGATTCGCCAGTCACTAATGCTGTCTGTTAATTAGTGCCATGCAATATTTTGAAGAGCGATGCAAGTGGAGCTTGAGCTTCTCGCGCCCTCCGTCCCCTAAGATATCATGCAGCGATTTTCGAGATGTCCGATCATTTCACTGTCGTGCGCTTGTGGAGCTTGAGGCATGGGTTTGCGCGCAACCAAGAAAAATGGCGATCACTACCGCAGCATTTTTGGGGTGTAGCCGTCCAAGCAGCGCAGCNNCCAAGCGGCGCAGCATGTATTCATTTCTGGTCAGCGTGAGGCAGCATGTCATTGTGGGTGTAGCCATCCAAGCAGGCAGCATGTATTCATTTCTGGTCAGCGTGAGGCAGCATCATTGTGGGTGTAGCCGTCCAAGCAGCGCAGCATGCGTTCATTTCTGGTCAGGGTGAGGCAGAGTATCATTGTGGGTGTAGCCATCCAAGCAGCGCAGCATGTATTCATTTCTGGTCAGCGTGAGGCAGCATCATTTTCGGTGTAGCTGTCCAAGCAGCGTAGCATGTATTCATTTCTGGTCAGCGTGAGGCGGCGTGTCATGTTGGGCGTAGCCGTCCAAGCGGCGTAGCATGTATTCATTTCCTGTCAGCGTGAGGCAGCGTCATTTTGGGTGTAGCCG